AAAAAAGTACTCCAGAGTGTTGTTCAGCATGGGGGTGAGTAGAAAATGAAGGCTAATCATGTTTTGGGTGTACTATTCCTTTAATGAGCACAACATCCATATTTTCTAAATAAAGACAAACTATCTTTCCTACAAGCTTTGCTGACTTAGGCTACGTTCACACTGCAGCCTGAAGTGACCCAAATCCGATTTTTTTTACCCATATGCCTCCTGGATCTGATATTTTCATAGCAGTCTGAACAACGCAGATCCGATTTTTTGACCCAGGCCACTTCGATATTTGGTCCTGAATCCAATACGAATCTGACCTTTTCAAACGTGACCTGTGTCTGAACGGATTCATCCAACCTGGCCGTCATTAATACTCGACAAAGGTCACTATTCTGCGTCTTGCTACACAAAATCGGCAAGAAAAACAACAACCATGGCAGATGATGATGCAGAGAGCAGTATTTATGCTTAACCACCTTGAAAAGATTGAGTTTTTATGGTTGGAAAAGACTGCGAAATGCGCGCCGGCACTACCATTCATGTTTACTTCCATAAACACTGGCTTATGATGTCATTGCGTCCTCTACTGCGCATGCGGGACACTTGCGTTGTATGACTGCAGTTCACACAGGAGAACTGCATATATTTGGAAATGTGAACGGCAACGCAAAAAAATCGGATTTCACAAAAAAAAAACATAATTGAGCATCAAGGCCTGCAGTGTGAACGTAGCCAAATAGACGCATAAATATTTAAATATCTTTGCTTTCTAGATAAAAGGTATAGTGGACAAAATTCTTTAAGGTTTGAGTTCTGGGGCAAACATATTTTCCAGTGTCATTATCTACTTTTATCAATAACCATTCTGCATAAAATTGATTTTTACAAGTACTAATATCTACATAAATTGATTGTTTAATAGCTTTTATTAATATAGTTATTTATCAGTAATTTTACTGAAGACTCTTAGATGACCTGCAGAGACACATAATTTTCGCTTTAACCCATAAAACACAAAATCTAGTTCTGAAAAGAGCAGGAATTTTGTACTTGTCAAGTAATTGTTAATATATAAAAAATTAAAATGTTTTGAATATTCCACTTGAGAGTATTAGTGCTGCCACCATCTGTATTAGAGGGAAAACATGGTAGGGGTGGCCAATGATTGGCTAAGGGTGGTCATGGCCACCCCTGGCCCCCCATCTAGCTCCGCCCCTGCCCCTTACTTTGATTTTTTTTATTTTTTTTTGGTCTTTTTATTGTTTTTTTTTTATTTGTTTTTCTCAATAGTCTATTACAGATTTGTTTTTACTATTAATAGCTTTAATTTTCATATACAATTGAGCTTTTTATTGTAAAAAAGATGTTCAGAACCTTTTTTTTTTTTAAATCTATCAAATAAGAGGATCTTATTTTGATAACAGCAAATAAGTTTAAACATATACACAAATTG